CTGATTGTTTCTTAACCAATCGGAAGCGAGTTAGATGCACGCAAGTAAATTTACAAAATTCAGATTAATTGTTCGCGACGCGAGAGTATTTCCGGGCATTTGGTTTGATTTTATTTATCCCCATAATTCTAGTTTATTCTTTGCTACTCCTCAGATATATGTTGCAGCCGATAAGAATAATATTTACAGCCCTGTCCTGCTTTGAAACAAACATTTCAGGCAACGTGTATTTTTACGAGGTCGTACCCACGCTAACAAAACAGTCACCGATCGGCAAACAAAATTTGTAAAGAAACATCTTATTACGGTTCTCTCAGTTCGCCTTATATAAACCCAGAAATACCTACAAATAGCGCGTGACCGGTGACAAAAACACACAACGTATGAGTATAAAGATTATCCTTAACTGAGCATAAATTTCAATTGCTTATCAGCAAATGAACAAATTCATATACGTTGCATCGGGTCAGTGTTCCGCAAAACAAATGTTATCGAGTAGCACACATAAAGAAACTAGATTATAAACAGAATATTCAGGCAATAATTTATTTTGATAACATCAATTCTTAAACATAATTATACGATCGTAAAGCAAAGATACAAGGAACATTTCAAGTGTACCAGATCGGTGAAGATCGCGCGGCCTGTTGCGGTATAACTACAGGTCGGAGTCAAAACTCAAATCAAAGTTGAACGAACTCATGCCTTTAACCACTTTCCAAAACACCGCACAAGGATCTTTTTCCCATTACAATCTTATTCTAAGAAAACTTTAAGAAAAAATGTCCCGAAAAGTGCTCGAAAATACAAACGAAATGTGCTCATGCCCCCTGGGCATCCTATAATACTCCTTAAATCGAACTAATTCAATATGGCGGCCGTATCGGTAAAAAGGTCTATTCAAGCTCTCGTTCTCTCGCTCGCATTTGCCGCAGGAAACATTACAAATCTACCGCTCTCGCGTCCCGCTCTTGAAAAAATTTGAGTTCGACTTGTAGGCAAGTCTATATAAATACCAGTGATTAATTTGCTCCGACGATCACACAATGGGAGTCCAATTTTTTTCCACCACACTATGATCAAAGACAGAATTGTTGTTTCCAATTGATCACATTTAAAACACAATTTGACATAATTTTAACTTTTCTTTCAGCCACTAGAACTCCCGAGAAACGTCTTCAAGTGTACGCGATACACTATGTACCAGTGTTTTTTTTTCTCGCGTGCAGCGATTGTGTCTAATTTATATAATTTTAAAAGTCACAGCATAAAGAGAGCATGCCCTCAAGTAGCGCTAAAGGGCCTACTAATGCGGTAGGTTGCAGCTGTTGTAGCGGGGAGGCTATAAATTCTTTAGGGAGGGGATAGTTATATTTCAAGTTTTCTTTTAAAGTTATAGAAGAAGTTGAGACTGTCTTAATGACATGAATGTTAATTCTTTCCTATAAAAACAGAGTCACAAGGGATCTAATACCTAAGAAGAAAAAAAATTTTACTGCTTTTCTACTTAGTGTTCGAGATCTCCAGTTTTACTGATCCATGTCTACACACTCCTTTTTCGAGCTAAGAATAAAAAAAGCAGTGGACGCTGTACGTTTTCACAAATGCAGGCTACCAGATTCTCCACAACAAGCCGGTCCGCTCAAAGCCAAATGACGTAAGACGCCATTTGTAAGTATACAAAATGAAGCACTTTAACAGATTGGCAGAATTCATTGGAAACAATTATTTTATCGGGAGTTTTGAAGACCTGTATCGCGGAAATTGCTGCTCAAAATTGATTGGAATCGAATCAGGCAAAAGCGAGTTTGTTACGTTTCCTAAGCACGAAAATTCCACTACGGAAGGAAAAGAAAGGGAAAACGAGAAGAGCGAGGGGAAAGGAAAGGGTAAGTTCGGGACTTGTCGAGACCCTGGCTTCAAAATTCAAATCCGGGACTTCAGCGTTTTTATCAATTCCGAGCCCGAGACAATTTCTAGATAATGGTATAAGAAATAAAGCTATGAAAAAAAAAAAAAAAAAAAAAAACGACCGAAAACGCTAATGGAAGCTAGCGAAAGCCCACCAATATACTGCTTTCAGTTCGATAACCGGCTGTAACCATAAACTCTGAAAAATTCTTCTCCTGAAGACCCGACCGAAAGAAAAAACGACAAACCCTTGACTCCAAGACCTGTCGGCAAACAACAACAACTGAAAACTGGCCATGGGACTGGCAAGACGCAAAAATCTATCAAAAAGCGAGTTCCGAGATTTCAGATAGGGGGACAATTTTCCTATATCCATGCACATTTTTGGGGGTACCATTCTTCACCCCAAAAAGAGGACTCCAGAAGAAAGCAATATATATATTCGCATTCTTAGTTGTTTCTAGTGAGCAGTTATGAGCTGTTATGGCTAAGTAAGGATAACGCTAAATTATTTTATTTTTGCTTTATTTTCTGCTGACCTGATTTGCTTTACAGTGAAATCAGAGTCAGTGCAAGGAAAACTTTTCTTGCTCACACTTTGTTTAAACATGCAATAGCATGCTCATCCAGTTGAACGTCTCCAGTAGTAAGGTCAGTCCTCACCAGGCGATGCTCCACATAGTGGCTTTCCGTTGGCAACTTGACAGCCTTTTTTGCTCTGTTCAGAAAAAAATATATATATTGTGTTGTAACCCAAGTCCATTTTAAACCTAAAAAATGCCACACGAGAAAGAAAGCAATATTCGCGTTCTTAATTGTTTCTAGTGAGCAGTTATGGATAAAGTAAGGATAACACTTCGCAGTCAATCATTTTACTTGTGCTTTATTTTCTGCTGACCTGATCTGCATTACAATGAAATCACGGTCAGTGCAAGGAAAACGTTTCTTGCTCACACTTTGTTTAAACATGCAACAGCATGCTCATCCAGTTGAACTTCTCCAGTAGTAAGGTCAGTCCTCACCAGGCGATGCTCCACATAGTGGCTTTCCGTTGGCAACTTGACAGCCTTTTTTGCTCTGTTCAGAAAAAAATATATATATTGTGTTGTAACCCAAGTCCATTTTAAACCTAAAAAATGCCACCCTCGTGAAGTACACAAAGCCCAGGATGAATGCTCTTGACCGATGGCAAAATGACTGGTGAGGCTATGGTCTGGCCGGCCAGTTCTGACTTTTGAAAAGGTCCCCAAGTCACTATTTTCTAACTTTGTATCACAGTGATTAAAATATTCTACCAACAGTATGTAGGGTGACCTTATACACTGCCTGCTTCGGCAAAAGCTTATTGCGTATTGTAATCCATTTGTTTGTTTGCGATTATTCGGTTAAAGGTTTAGCTGAAAATTCCTCAGAACTTACTGAGAATGGCAATAACCAATTCAAATAAGAGAAGTTCAAAGAAATGATTTATTTCAAACCAAGGCACAAGCAAGTTTTATTATAAACTACGTCCCCGTAAACAAAGATTTCAGTGGAAAAATTGCCACCACGGCTGTATTAGATAATTTGTTTTGATCAGGGTTACAAAATGACGTCAGGGTTGCCATAGCAACGAAATGACGCCATTACCTATTTTATTTGCAGCAGTATTTCTCAGCACTGGGAACTGCTCTCCCAAAATCGTTAACGGAAGCTTTTCCTCCAATAGCCGCTTCTATGCTTGTGAAGTTTAAGTGAAATCTATAAGAGCATTATCGAGATATTTTGTGATGAGGTTTTTATTGTTAGAAATACAGTAAAAACTGGACAATCTTTATGTTCGGCCGTTATCTAAAGAAAACGAAGCGCTTTTAAACCGAAATTTTACCTCATAGTAGTTTCAATCTTTTTAATGATCATGGAGAAGGGTGGGGAGCGCCAGACACGCGCGCGCGACTTGGAAAGGCGCAGAAACAACCAGTAGAGATGACGGAATGGTCGGACAATATTCCTGAAATTCGAGGTAAACCAAGAAACCGTCTGAAAAGTCAACTAGTGAGTTTTATTATGGAAAAGTTTGTTTTACATTCTGTTTAACTTAGTTGAGGTCTTTTACTAAAGCCCAAGTGTGACAACAAAAGATACAGTAAAAACCCGCGTATAACAACCTAGGTTTTTCCAAGTTAGCTTAAACAGGTTCTTATATAAATGGTATTTAGTGTAAAATTAGGCTAACTAGGTTCTTAATTAGGTTTTTAACTTTTGTTCAAGAAATAAAGCTGAATTTTTAAATGATATGGTGTTTAATGTCCAAAAACAGTATTCTTGGAGGCTTCGTTAAGCAAAATACTATACTATTTTAATGTGATTCTGTTACAATCAAACCTATGGTAAAGTTTTATGTAACTACGTTATAGTGTTTAGAGTATTATTGCATAAAGACTGTGTTATATATATATATATATACATGTAATAAAGTGGCTAAAGCCGTTAAACAGTGCTCAATACATCATTAGACTGTGTATATATATATATATACGTGTAATAAAGTGGCTAAAGCCGTTAAACAGTGCTCAATACATCATTACTGCAAACCCCGACAGAATCCTAAATAAAAGATCAGAACTGATTTCCAAGTGCCGCCACGAAAACAAGTTTTACCTTAGGAACAATTGACTCAAAAAAAACACTCTATTAGTTTTTCCTCACACCTAATTGTAATTAGAACCGCACTGCCCTGCTTTTTGTCATCAATAGACGCGTGTATATATATAACTTGATAGGTTTATTCTCCATTAAATACTGTCTGATGAGTGCGTGAGCACGAAACTCGGAGTAACAGAGAATTTTGTCTCTTCGTTATATCTTCATATATATATATATATAAGAGGTTTGAACTTGAAATATATATATATATTTGTTTTTTTTTTGAAAATAAGAACCTGTTTTAGGATTTCAGCCTAAAATAGGTTCTTATACGCGGGTTTTTACTGTAACGTCAGAGCAAGTTTGGATCTTGATCGCGCTTTAGTTTCAAGTGACGTTTTCCCCGCCCCTGACGTCTTGCTATCTTAAACTGTTCTATAATATTATTACTTCGACAAAGAAACTTAAAAGACATACTTGTATAACGTATGGAATTGGCAACGGTGATTTTTCCCATCTTTCAGCGAGAGGAACATGGTAATGTCTCCCTTCAATATCCCCTCGCTAACAGTCATTTTTTGGACGGAAGGCTCCCAATTAGTTGTCCTCTTTTGCATCACTGGTCCATCAGCAGGAAAGTTCATCCCAATGAAAGTGGACTTGTGGATAAAGCAGTTGCGTTTATTACTGTCAAGGCTATCGAAGTAAAAAGTACTTATGAGAAAATAACAAAATCTAGATTTTTTATTATTTTTATTATTATCAATATTATTATCTTTCTTAAAATTAATTAATTAATTCTAAATTTTAATAGTCTTTGATCGTAAAATTAGTAAATTTATACCTTATATCCACACTGGCTATGCAAGATCCGCCATCTTCAAGTTCAAGGGTTCTTTCCCAAGAGTATCCTTCAGGAAATGATGGCTTGAAATAGTCAACGATGGACGCAGGATAATCAGTAAAGGCTCTGTTACCATAGCAAAACACGGCCGACAATATGTCAAAAGAGAATGGCAGTGGTGCACCCTTGGTTACTCGCAGTGTCAAGATCTGTTTTCCCCTACAAAAAAAAACACAACAAGAATGAAATACAAATCGATTAAACTAAATAAGAAAAGCGGAGAAGAGCCTTTTGAGAACTAGGCTAAACACTGCCCATTTATCAGTCTAATTTAACTAAATAACAATAGGGGCTTAGGACAGCCTGCTATATAATTTAAATATAAACTTTCATTTCGATTCTGCAATGCTAATCTCGCCCTTTGACAAGAACTGACAAGATTAATGGCAAGTCCTATCACGACACAATATACTTTTTATACCGCTTACCTAGCCTAAAGAATCATTAATACTGTTCAACAGGTTCATTTATTTAATTAGTTTTTATTTGTTCCTTCTTGAGAAAGGTAATAATTAATCATTATTGAAAAAGGTAATTTTTGAAATATAATGTCAGGTCACTTTAGTGGCAGAGTTGTTGAGATGATAGTTTGCGTAAATATGATAATATAAACGACGTTTGATCCTGGCCAGCAAAAAATTGGCGATCGTCGTGGCCTATTGCGAATAACATCGTGTTTCGACGTTAAGCAGAGTACCAAGCTTTTTGAAAAAAATCCATTTTTCAGCATAAAACAACCAAATCTGTCTATTTCACGTAAAATCAGGTGAAAAAGTTGGTAAAAGGCCATTTTTAGGTTTTTTGATTAACCCATTCGCCCCTGAACCGCCCGTAACCGCCCGTGCGGATCCAGGTCCTTTCTACCCTTTGTGACGTCATCAGTTTTAACGGTCAAGGACAACTTTCTTCGCTAACTTGTGCAGAGTGAAGAGATCTTTCAAACCATACCAGAATGAGCACAATTCAGTCAAGGACACCGGAGAAAGATGCAAAAAACCACGTGACAAGGACCTGAAAATCCTCATGGAAATCTTGTTCCATTACCCACCTACCTTTCCTTTCACCTAATCCTAAGATCCTAAAAGCTTTCCTAAAAACTCTTCCCACCAAAATGAAGCCTTCTAAATGCCCAGCAAGAGAAAAAAAAAAATGAGGCAAGAAAAGCGAAAAAAGAAGGGAGGAGAGAAAGCGAAAAGTAAAAGTCAAGACTGCTGTCACTTTTAAACCCAAAAATCGAAATTTTGCTTTCTGCACATGCCCGAACTTCGCAAGCTGATATTTTGCGTCTGGATCAGAAGGCCGCCAAGTGTACGACCTGTAAACCGGTTTGTGGTGAGTTTTAGCTCTTTATAGCACGACAGTGACCAGAAAACCACTCGACTAGCTTCAAAACGCGTTTTTCGGCAAAATCTCCAGGAGCGAATGGGTTAATCAGTGTCAAATTTGCCATTCAAAGAAAAGTTGTTATTGATTTTGAATAATGTAGAATAACTTACATTTTTTTCTGGTTTTTACTTGTGATGATTAGTAAAACCACTTTCACAATTCATAAAGCTTTCTGTTGCACCTAAGGCCATAATATCTCTTTTGGTATGATTGGGTTTTCGGAATCTCTCGCCTTATACTCAGTACAGCTAATTTAAAATGATTTGAGAATTTGACTTTTCATCACAAAAATATCCCGAAATTGAAGACTACTCTTATTTCTCTTAAACCTATGACAGTGAAGACCTTCAGTTGCCTTTTACTATCAAGGGAGGTGTGTTGATCGACTTACTCGTACGGCTTCCCCCTGCCTTCACCCTCGATTGTAAAGGAATGCCCATTGACAGATCCTTCCATGTGGTATGTCATCGTCATGTCATCTTTGATAACTTACATTCACAAAATGCACAAAAGTGAATCCACATAAGAGCAGGTGTGGCTTACAAAGTGAAGCTTGAAGTTGTAGTTATAAAAGGCTAGGAAGCTTAACACCGTTCTGGTTTGTAAAAAAAAACAAATTAGGTTGGGCAAAAGTGAAGCTATTCTGAGGGTGATTATCTACATGTCTCAAAAGATCGATTGACTTCCTATTCAATATTTAGATCAAGTTTACAAAGAAGACTTTTTTTTATAAGTTTATACGCGAGAATCAAAAGCCATTACCTATAGCAAGACTAAACTGCAAAATACCAAATTACTTATATTAGTTGCATTAGATTTAACTCATATTAATAAACTTGCAATTGACTTTAAGTAAAGTGATATATTCCGTCAAACCTTTAAGCTTTCGGAACAAAATTCTACTATTAATAATGATTTTAAAACTTGTAAGATACCTTTTTCTCAGTCTGATTTGAGATTTTTAACCTCTTTTTTGCTGTTTTGCGTGATAACTAATCTTGAGTGTTTCACTCCAAAAGAAAGAAACGAATCATTCTCTCTACTAATTTATGCCTCATTAATCCCAGGAAGAATCGAGTAAAAAGGCCTGATCTTTCATATTGTTGGCCTGACGGAAACGTTTTTAAGCTTTTTTACAACTACCGTTAGGGTGTGTCATGGCAGTATCCTATCAAACTGTAGCCGTTACATCAGTCCTTATTGCCAGAAATAGGGCCTCATATTCTTGGCGTAGAGTTGAAAATTCACTTACTTGTTTTGAAAGAGCCATGTCGAGAAAAAATTGCTTCTTTGTCAAAACGTACTCAAAATTCCAGTTAAACTGTTGCAGTTCACTCCGTCACCGACTAAGCTGAACTGACTACATTGCTAGGGTAGATCGATTTTAACGCTATATTGGATCAAAAGACACACCTTGATTGACGCATTAAAACAGGTTAGGCTGGATCTTGACAGGTTGGTCAGGATAAACGCGACAAATAAATCTTTGTTCTTTACTTACAGCTTCACGTGATGTGCAGTTTGCATGTACTTTTCCACAGCCTTACCTAACCAAACTTGGCTAATTTGTGAATTTCAACTCTTACATTATATTGAGCTCTAAAGTTAATTTAAAAACAACCAACTGAAAAATCTGAAATTAATCTTGATACGATTTCATTAGTGACTTTGTTGTAACGATACCTTACAGCTTCAGCACAAGCCGTTAAAAAACCCCAACAAAGAGCTTACAAATAAAAAAAACTAAAACGTGAATGTTGAACGTCTATGAGAAACTAGGGTGCAATTATTAATAAGCACTTTTATCAATTCTGGAAGGCAGAAAAAAGTATGCTATCAATTACAGCTACAAGGTTTTGCAGAAGAAGTAAAAGTTAATGCTGGTCTAAAAATTAATTATTCCCGGGATCAGGAAATAGAGTGTGTTTAAAAAGCTCAGAAAGTCAGGTCACCGCCTCATTGACACAATTGGAGCGATTAAAATGTCCAGAATATGTCACTTACAAAGTGAAACAGTGAAACGGGGTAGACGATTTGGGAAGAGAAAAATAGGGTCCCCCCTGAGTGAACTTTTCTCGTCAATGAAACAAGGAGAAGACTTTTTAAAAATATGGTTGTTCTTGAGTTGTGAATTCTTGTTTCAATTAAACAAGATTTGTGACGAGTAGGCTGTATTTTGGGAGGTAATGGAAGTGTCGGCATAAGTTTAAAACGACTACAGATCATGACCCGATATGGTGGTTAGATTAAACGTAAACTTGTTTTCACCTTGTCATCCAGCAGCGAAAACTGCTTATACAGGCTGACTACATAGATATAGACTATAAAAACATTGCCCGGCTATTCTAGATCTCAACTCAGACAACTCACCGACTGAGCTGTGAACACACTTTTTTATTAGCGTAGGTAAAATTGGTAAGATTGTTGATTATACATTATCCATATTAAAAACGTGATATGTCATGATTGTCTTCAAGGTGATTTGTTAAAGGTACAGAAATCTACTTTAGAATCATTAAGTGAAATCTTTCACCGCTAGTAAGCAAGTAACATTACTTTCCAGAACTGACCTGTATTAAGCGGTCATTTATAGTCAGAAGCGGTCGCGCCATGATCACCTTTTCCGTGTTACTTTTTATTTTCTCCACCTGGATTTAAAGGTCACTTTGTCAAGATGAACCACACAAGCGCAGTATAAACACTGTCCACAGCATTTAGCGCTCTTTTGCTTCCGTTTTTGGCACAAGATGAGGTAGACACTTTGTGGACCCCTCGGCCGGGTCAACTTGTCGAGCTATGGATATTTCGCTTGTGTTGTCACCGTCTTGATCAGGGGCACCCAACGGCAATTTTCGGGAAAATATCTGTTCGGAAGACGATTTGAGATCTAGAATTTTCGGAGCATTTGTTGTAAAATTTCTTGCTTGCCTGCCTCTCCTAGGATTTTCGAACATCTACAAAATGGTATAATTACCCATTTTTAACGGATTTTGACCCCAAAAAAGGCCACCTAGAATTTTCGAGAGCCTTTTCCTGGCTAAAATTTTCGATAAGGTAAGTTTTGATCCCTATAACTTTCGGATCACTAAACTTTCAGCTAGGAAATCCGAACAGATGAAAAGTTTTTAGGGGATAAAAATTTCCTGGCTAAAATTTTCGATAAGGTAAGTTTTGATCCCTATAACTTTCGGATCACTAGACTTTCAGCTAGGAAATCCGAACAGATGAAAAGTTTTTAGGGGATAAAAATATGCCTATATCTACCGTTTGAATACTAAAATACGTTCAACAATGCTATGTTAAGTGGTTTTGAACTATATCCTCGTTGGGTGCCCCTGCTTGAATTTCTTGATAAACTCCTAAGTTTGTCAAACCTGTATGAAAGGGTCAACATGTATTAAGCGGTCATTCAGTCATTCCCCAAAATACATCTTTGACTGTAGTTATTCCGGTCCAGTAAGTTACGTTTGTAACGGAATCAGCGTGAGCTCTAAGTTAATGGAGTGACCGATTAAAATAACAATTTTAAAAGCGAACGTTTTGCATTTTCTTCAAACCATATTTTTTTTATTTCTTAGTATTGATATCTTTGTCATAATACAGTATATTTAAGATAATTATTTCTTCGGATAGTGTCAAGTCTACATTATGGGAGTATTATTTCTAAAGCATTAAGTACAGCAACTAAAAACAAATTGCGAATTTTCGTCAAATTCGGCTCTCTCATTTTCACGCCAATGAGTCTGGAAAGGTAAAAGCGTTACCTATGTATGTGCTTTTTTTATTTTAAATAAATTTAAAAATATCCGTAAACTTGTGTTATAAGGAATTGTGAGCTCTTAGTAAAGTAACGATCGATTAAAATGACAAACAATGACAAAGATATCAATACTAAGAAATAAAACAATGACAAACAATCTTTATCTTATGTTCTTGGCACCCACAACTTCGTTTAGTACAATGTATCTCCCATAGAAGTTCATAGAGCTATGAACGCGAGTCTGCATCTGCATAACTGGTGTCATTTTATCGCGTTTTTCGGGCGAGCGAAGGTAAGCTCGACGCCACCGAGGAGCGCCAGACCACCAGACACGCGACTGGAGAAGGCGTGAATGTCTTGCCTTCACTCCTCTGGAAAACGCAAAAAATAACGGGCTATGCGGGCTATATGAATGGGAGCGGTCGTCTTTCTTTCCTCGGAGCTACGCGCAGCGAGTGAAAAAGTGAAATCATGCATCAAAAGAAAACGAGTTAACGCACAGTAAAATAATATTTATTTAGACGGTCAAGTATATATTACGTTGGCACGCAGCGGGGTCATTGTGCAGATTGTGTTTTACAGCGAGAGCGTGCAGTTGATAGTACCGAGATTTGATGGCTAAACTCTTGATTGATCGGAAACTCGATCGTTATTTGTCCCAGTCACTGTTAAAAACCACTCCTCAGAAACCGCAGGGGTTGCTGGAAATAACATAGCAAAAAGCTGTTTTGTTCTTTGGAAAAGCTGAGAGTTACACAGTTTTAACTGGCAGTTAAGATTTGTTTTGATTAGGGACGAATGTGCGCTAAGTATATCAAAACTAAGTTGAATTTTGATTCGAATAGTCGAGAAGAATATCAAAATTTCCGAAAAATTGTCAACATGACAATCGACTTTTATCCAAAATGGCGCATTCACTTGCTCTAACTTTACAAGAATGCTTTTAAGCTGATTGATTTGGAGATAAATTTATATGCTATGATTAACACTGGAAAAAGTGACCGTACCTGCGAAATAGAGATGCACCCGAAAATATGGCCATGTTTCAGTATGGAGGAAAACTATAAAATGGCGCAAACCGGCTGATAAAAAGGTAGCTGGCGTTAAGTTTTTGGAGTCCATTGCTTTAATGACTCAAAATAAAGCAATTAAATGCATTGATCTCTTACATAAAATTAAACTCCGGCTTAGAGATTTAGGGAAAGAAAAATAAGTTCCTTAATTTATATCGTTCTTGCTTTTATGGTGACAATTCACTCCGTTTAACACTGGCTCTGATTTAAAAAACAAAATGAATCACATCAGAGCTAGTTTATATCATAGATGTTGAGTCACACAAACAAAGCGGCTGTCAAAAGTTTAGCGGCTTTTTTATAACCTAAAGTAAGAATGGAGAGTTTGCAAAATATACATCAATAATTCACATTGGCGGGGGGAGGAGGGGGGGGAGGGGTAGGGGATTAGACTGTTTTGCTTAAATTATGAAGTACAAAACTTTCTGTGTAAACTGATTCTTTTTCAGTGACTGAAGATTAATAATCATAGATCACGATTTCAAGAGAAAAATAACTTTTCTCAGTTTAAATGAAATAAGCCAGAGACTAAGAAATTTTCGACCAGGAGTAATGAAAACACCCTATTATTCCTCATTCGGTTTGTATAGCTTTTTGCCACTGGCAAGCAATTTTTTTTAAGTTATACATTAAGAGGGTGC